CGTTATCAAATTGTTCATCATGGTACAAATTATATGATTTTATACCAATATTAAATCAATAAGAGGTAGTAAAATCCTTTTTATAGCTAATATTACTATTGTAGTTATCATTACCAAGGTCAGTACGGTCAAGGTGAATTATGTAAGACTTGAATTTGTATTTGTGTATGAATGGGTATAAAATGTAACATTTCTATTGCAAAAAGATAAGGTTAAATTTATATGCATGGTAATAGTGTGATATGTGAATGGAATCGACATGATAGCTCGGACAGAAAGTTCAAGTCGGATGGATAACAATGCTCTCTTTTCTATGAAGGGCTATTTAAAGTTCTATTGTACCATGGCGGTATGGTAAAATTACGGTACTAATCCATGGTATTTCATTTGAATCATTATCTAGCAGTTAATAGTCTCATTTTATTGCGTTTTTTTATTGTATTCCTTAAAAAATTATTAAATTGTAAGACTTTATTTAATTGATTCAGTTGCTCTTGTTTATCCTCTAAATATGTAATAATCTTTTTTGCTCTTCTAAAGGGACTTAGGGCTAGAGAAATTTCTTAACTGAATAGATGTAATAAATTGAAATCAGTATAACGATTCTAGTTTCGGTTTTCAGTATACATTTAGAGCTCCATTTAGCTTTTTTAAACTAAGTAGTCTAAAAATGATAGCTTACTGTGTTCATTCTCATCCTCGAAAGTAAATTGAATGTGGGGTCAGGATCTATTGATCAGTTTAGAAGAAGTTCGTAGGAGATTCTATGTCATGACGACAAAAGTATCATCCAACTATGTGAGCCAAATTCGCGGTTGAATGCCATTGGCGAAATTATTTGATTCTATATGTGACATAAACGAGTTGGCTACGACCATTGACACGCATGATCTCATTTCCAACAACAACAGGTTTAAAGAGAGCAAGAGGAAAAGTGTGGAAACATTTTCCTTAGTGTGTGGTTGGGTGATAATATAGAAGTCAAACCACAGCCGTTTTAATGTTACTCTTGTCTTTATACGCCCAAAATCCTTTCTGATAGATCGTGATTAGTTCAAAGTTCATTTTTCCCCTGTTCCTATTGAGTGTAGTGCTATTCAACATCTATTCTCAAGATTCTTATGGTTAACTGACAATTTATGAACATGCTTCAAACATTCTTTGTGTTCTTTCAACTTCATAGTCAGACAACTGGACGTTTTCCCTCATTTACCTCATCACATTCATGACAATTAATTTCATAGACAAAGTTCTATTGTTCTCCTTTCGATAAGCTTTTCTCAACTTTGACCAATGCCAATTTGATGGTATGAGTTGCTCAGAAATGAACCCTAATATCGTACATATTTAGAATCCTTTTTATTTTATCTGGTGCTTCCTCACGCTTCGGGATGACAACGTTTTTCTCCGTTTCAGTGTAAGCCATTTAAGTTTGTTTTTCTTTCATTTTGGAGTTTTCTTATACTCCACGGCTAAGATCATATCAAATATCATTTTTAAACATTACGTTTTCTTCAAAATGGCTCCTAAACAGTTTTACGCACCTATATTAGAATGTTCAAGATTCGAATCCGTTTATCTAAAATTTTTTCATATTATGAAGACGTAAGTTCTTGTGATACATTGATCCGAAATCACAAATTTTTGTTTGTCAACTGAATTTGATTATAAATATCAGTTACACAGCAAGTGAATAATTCCATGTGCCTGTTTCGCTTTCCGACAAATTAAAATAAATCAACACGAAACAGATTATTTTGAATCAATAATCCATTTAGTGTATTTTGGTGGTTTCTTTAAATATGGATACAACATAATATATTTACCCGAATTCATAAATAATTAAATACCGAAACTATCAAAGGGTTTGAATTGATGGATAGAATAATTTATAAATGAATGTTATTCCAATATAATTAAAGTTTTTAATTACTAAATAAAAGGGGTCGCATAATTAGCTCTTACAATTCGTAAAATTCAAAGGACTGTTAAGACCATGAGAGAATAAAGGTTTGAAGATGATTCTTCTGTAGATAGAGATCGGGTTTGAAATGATGAATTATTATAGCTTTAGTTGTGCACAAATCGTTTATCCAAACTTTTTTTCAGCCAGTCACAGATTAAGAACATAATTCCCCACCAATAAATTTCCAATTACATCTTCATAGACATGTAAGGCAGTTTGAATAAGAACGTTTAAGCTGAGTTTTCAGCTGGAATACTAAAGCAACACATATTAGCACCTAATATGACGTGATGCATTAGAAGACATTAGATCAAATGCAGTTGGACTGAACTTACTTAGTTCAGATAACAGTCAAAACAAGAAAGAATTTAATGACATCTTTACTACCAAAGCATTTAAACGTGAATGATTGACTTTTCGAATAAAAAGTTTACATTTCAGCCTCCTTGTTTTCACGGTTTTCATAGTATTATTTACCGACTCTGCCAAAATTTTTTAGAGTAACATACTCTAAAACTTTAGATCAAGATGGGAATTAATCAAAACGGAACATAAAAATTTAGCAACTTAAGTATTTGCTATTGTAAATGATTCTCAATTAGTTTTACTTTTCTTTATTGACAGGTCGTGCGCTACGAATACTGCGGTTAGCAAAACTCCTGAGTTTATTAAGGCTTCTACGTCTTTCGCGTCTAGTTCGTTATATAACACAGTGGGAAGAAGTAAGTGTCGCCAGCCAAGTCTCTTCAATTTCATTACTGAACAGAATTCTGTAGATAATCAACCCCTTCTAAAACTTCCAAAACCTCTGTATTTTTCAACAAATAATCTTACATGTAGTGCATTTTTTATAAAACCGTTTAATTAAACACATCATTTTCAAGATAAGGTTATTCAAATTTTGATCAAGTTGATCAAGCCTCAAAAACCGATGTGCACTACACAGATTTTATATCCTACTTTGATACCCTTTAGAAGTTAACACACAAGACTTCATTGTGGATCAAACATATAATTACAAAGTTTAGGAGAAACCTTGATATCCATGGATGGCTGAATGTCAAACCAACAGTCTTCATTTCTTAGTTACATTATGATCTGTATGTGACTACCATTCAATTGTTGATATCTGTTTCACGTTATAGATATGTGCAACTAGTTACTGCTTTTCATCAGAACTTCAGGAATTCTTTTCGAAACTTGCCACCGATATATCCATGATAATTAGTAAGAAAGAGATTTTTTGGATACAACACAAAATCCTCTAGCTGGTTCCCGATTATAAAATACTAATTTCATATTTCCTATTGTATTAATAATGTCCTTCCTATAGTACTTTAATACTCATTGATCAAATGCGCATCCATTTACTCGGGCATTGTACATAGTCAATCTATGAAAGCACTCAGAATTTTATTTAACTAGCATAGTAAGAGTTATTCTACTTCATAGAAGCAATCAAACTCATGTTTTAAATAATTCAGAATATTTATGTACTTAATTGTAAGTTACTAAGTTGATAAGAAAAATCGATTTCAGTTATTAAGTGATTATTTGAAGTCTAAACTACGGTTTGTTTATACATCAAAGTGTTTTGTATTACATGATTGATAACGACACAAACACTTTAATGGTAACTTCTTTCATTCGCAAGTTTCAGTGAATTTAGATAATATAGATATATTGTCGAAATTATAAGTAAATTGTATTAACTATTACCCAAATTAGAATTGTATCCTTCACTGGTGATACTACCATAACAAGTATTTTTTAGCATGAAATGCCATAGTTTTCTCACTAGATATATCTCACTAATATTTATGGTAGCGTCAATTTATGCAATTTTCTAAACAAAAGTCTGGAAAATTAAAAAGTCTTTAATATAGACGGATCCTGAAGACAACAACCCCTAAAATACTCGCACTGTTCATTAATACTTCTACAATTATCTTTTACACTTCTGTATAATAATTTTTAGATCGCTGAATAATCTCCAATTTGAATTTTAACTAATAAAAATGGAATATGCTTAACGTAGGTATAAAAATTTAGCATCCTCAAGAGAACGAAATGCCTAATGGAAGCTCAAGGATAAGTAAACTGTGATCAGCTTAAAAACAGTTCATCAAAGCAAAGTAACTTAGTCTCTGTTAAAGTAAATAAAAAGCTCACTCATACGTGAATTATGTTCTAAAATGCTTGTTCAGAATGATAATAAAAGCTTTAAAATTAAAGCATTCAGTTCAAATGATACGACACCACTAAAACTATCCACCTAAGCTAAACATCTTATCCAACACTTCCAAACAAATTACCTAACACTTTTAAAGCATTTAACATTTTTTATGAACAGTGGGTTAGAATAAATGCACTGTGTTTGAACGAAGAATATTCGTTTCGATAAATTCTCATCAGGTTCTACAGTTATATATCCAAATTAATAATCCGAAAAAATGGCCAGGTTAAGGGTAAAATACATCGTCTAGAGCATGTGAATTTAGGATTGTGATAAACAAAATACAATAAAATTGTTAATGTTAATATGACTCATATAGAATGTAAACTTGAATCAGCTTATATGTTAAGTAAAATTTTAAGATCCATGATCAGAATAAATATGGGTCAAATAGGGTGAGACAGAAATAATAGTGCAATTACAATCCGATCAAATAAGTAAGACGTAATACGGAGGAATGAATGCGAAGTGAATGAATCATGTATAGGAAAGATTAATAATGATGTTTAACCAATAATAATAATAATAATAATAATAATAATAATAATAATAATAATAATAATAATAATAATAATAATACAAAGATTTATGAATAAAGATAACAGGGACAATTACAATTGACTACTAAAGGTCATAGTCAAATTAGTTCATTCAATACTTAAGATTACGATTGATTAATTGGCCTTGATGTTGGCCAGGGGGGGGAGTGGTTGAATATATTTCTTGTGTACGCAAAGCTCCGGTTTCTTTATCCGGATGGCTATTGCTTCAGCCGTTTGAAGGACTTTCAGTCTGACCAATTTTGGCAAAAAAATTACTTGTAAAATATAGTGTTAAGGATGTGTTCCAATTTGTTGATAAAATCAAAAAAGCAAATACGTTGGGACTAAAAATGATGTCATTGGATGTAACATCGTTATTCACAAACGTCTCACTCATAGAGACTGTAGAATATATAGGTGAACAGCTGATAGAAAATGAAATTGAAACTACTGTCCCTATTAGTGTCGTGAAAAAGTTATTACTCAAATGCACCATGAATGTAAATTTCAAGTTCAACGGTGAAATATATAGACAAACAGATGGTGTTGCAATGGGTTCACCACTGGGCCCTATACTAGCTGATATTTTTCTAGCCAAACTAGAAAATGGTCCACTAAAAGAGATTATTCGCAACTTCACATTTTACTGTAGATACGTGGATGACACATTCATCCTCTGTAAAGATAATACGTCGCCGCAAGAGGTTCTTAGACGATTTAATGAAGTGCATCCAGCCATTCAGTTTAAATCTGAAGAAGAGAGTGATGGCCGAATAGCCTTTTTGGACGTTCTCTTGACTAAGAGAGCGGATGGATCGTTAAAAAGGAATACAAACAGAAAAAGTACATGGACTGGGCAGTATACGAATTTCCTGAGCTTTGTACCTCTTCAGTACAAACGAAATTTGATCTAAAACCTTAGTTACCGTATTCGCACTATATGTTCTGCTGATATAGTCGAACAAGAGCTTACCACCTTGCATAATACTCTCAGGGAGAACGGCTACCCTAGAAAGTTTATAATTAAATACATGGTCACGAAGGCGAAAGTAGGCGAAATACAAACAGTGAAGAAGAAATCCCTGTTCATGCGTCTACAATTCAGAGGGGATGCGGCTAGCGAAATACTAACTCAGAGATTACGTAGGACAATACAAAAGTCTTTTAACGCCGGAGAACTACGATTAATATTTTCTACGCGCTCATTGGTTACACCGAAGCTAAAAGATGAATTATCTAGAATGACCACCTCATTTTGTATTTATCAGTTTGACTGCTCCTGTGGAGCGAGTTACATTGGTCGAAGTTCTAGGAATTTACATTTTCGTGCTCGTGAACACCTTCCAGCGTGGCTAAATAAAGGTTTGATGAAGAAGGTGAACAGCTCAATATTGGCCCATTTAGTACAAACCGGTCATAGTGCCAGTATAAACCAATCTTTTTCAATTATTTATAAGGTAAGTAATTTTTTGCCAAAACTGGTCAGACTGAAAGTCCTTCAAACGGCTGAAGCAATAGCCATCCGGATAAAGAAACCGGAGCTTTGCGTACACAAGAAATATATTCAACCACTCCCCCCCCTGGCCAACATCAAGGCCAATTAATCAATCGTAATCTTAAGTATTGAATGAACTAATTTGACTATGACCTTTCGTAGTCAATTGTAATTGTCCCTGTTATCTTTATTCATAAATCTTTGTATTATTATTATTATTATTATTATTATTATTATTATTATTATTATTATTATTATTATTATTATTGGTTAAACATCATTATTAATCTTTCCTATACATGATTCATTCACTTCGCATTCATTCCTCCGTATTACGTCTTACTTATTTGATCGGATTGTAATTGCACTATTATTTCTGTCTCACCCTATTTGACCCATATTTATTCTGATCATGGATCTTAAAATTTTACTTAACATATAAGCTGATTCAAGTTTACATTCTATATGAGTCATATTAACATTAACAATTTTATTGTATTTTGTTTATCACAATCCTAAATTCACATGCTCTAGACGATGTATTTATCGAAACGAATATTCTTCGTTCAAATACTAGTCTTTTAATATGACGGGGATCTTTAAAGGATTAAAATGCACTGTGATTCAGTAGCCCATAAAATGTTAACTTGTATGAGGTCATTTACATTTTGATTGGTACAAATAGTTTATACGGCGTGACTAATCTAAAACAGTATATATTGTATCGAAGAAAAGTGGGATATCATTCAAATCTGAAACCTAAGCACACCCAACATAGAAATTAAGTATATTTCATTCCTAAAACTGTATAATTTGGTATGTGTAAGTTTGTACAGAAAATCATCTAAACTACTAATAACCTCTTCACAAATTTTTTACAAAACAGTAGTTTTATAGTTGAAACATCCGAATCATTTGAACCTTCATTTAAACCTACTAAATTAAGTGCTGATAATATTCATGAATAATATCTGTCCGTTGAAATTAGAATGCTCATTCCTCCTTATCCCGATCATGTCACTTGGGTGTACTTGCATTCCAGAGTTGATGTTTATACTGAGACCCAAACACAATACCGAATGCTTGCAGAATCCAACGTTATAACCATTGAGTCCAGCTAACAATTAGCTTGTTCAACAGGTACAAAGGTATTACTAAAAGTTTGTAATTTCCTGTTGTTAACATTTGAGGGCATGAACAGAGGATTATGGTGTATGGTAGTGACGAGTTTTAAATGGGGTTAAAAGAATGAATCAGAATCTCGCTTTTAACTACATACAAAATGCACTAAAACTTGTGGCATAACTCTAAGTAAGCTACTCAGGATTCATATATGGTAACTGAGACTGATTAATTACAGTTCTTAATATCAACTACAGGAAATCGTGAATCTGTACTAATAAATACTAATATATTTCAATAATTTAGAACTTAGTATTTTCGATAAACAGCTTTCGAAAATAAAATATCAACTTTCATCATTTTCGAGTGTAGTTTACTCGTAATTTCATAAAATACATTACTCCATGCTTAATAAATAACTGAATCTACTTACTGAGATGGTTAAATATATTGTAAATATATTTCTTACACACTCACTTTGTTGTGCCAATAGCCATAACCGTAAATATATTATAGAAACTAAACTACTCAGCTATTCAACTAACTCCTAATGAAATATAATTTTAGTAAATTAAGTAATTTCACACAACTGTAATACTGAAATTATAATAATCTATTTATAATTTACATAACGATGATCAGTCTGCTTGGTTCGTCACCGTATTGTATATTCGTCTAGCAACTTACAACGATATCACATGATTTTGGATAATTCTTTGCTCAAGTAACTATTTATTTCACCACAACAATTATTCTGTACACAAAAGTTGTCGTTTTAATTTATCTCAAACACCTATACCAAGTGACATAATAATTAAACATGATCATGAATACAATGCTTAGTTCACACAACTTTGTTTGTTAATGATGAAAGAACGATCAGAGAAATTCTCAGCGGACTTCGAATTAGGGAATAATGAAATAATTCGAATTGTATTCCTCAGGTTTCGTTTTCAGTCCTAATAAATTAATTAAACTCAACTTCTGTAAATTCCCAATATGTTTACACAAAATTATGAGCTTTCCGTAAAGCATCATGTATATTAATTTCTTACGTGAAAAATGTCATTTTCATATATTTTCTCATTTATTTGAGTTTATCAATATTGCAAGCAAATTTATGGGAATATGTAATCTAGTACTAATTATGCTAATATTGGGCCATTGGAATGCATGCTTACAATTTCTTGTACCAATGTTGATGGATTTTCCAATAGACAGTTGGGTCAGTAAAGCACGATTACAAGTAAGTGATAAAATAAAATCTTGTTGATTTGTTAACGGGAAAGTATGAGTCGTACAGTTTATAATCAATTTACTTATAACAGGTTGTATTCAAAAATAAAGTGGTAAACAGTCCCCATGATAAAGTACTTTCATATTATCATATTTCTGGTTAAAATCTAGAATGTAGACTTCAGTGATTCGATCATATCATTAGAGTGGAGATTTTAGTAAGGTAGAAATTCGAGATCGTATGAATCATAATTTCACCAGAAAGCTATCTATGGTTTTGTGAAGTTAATGTATTTGCTTTTCTTAATATGAAGTATATGCTTTAATGAATCGTTGACCAACTTACAACATTCACCCACTTTTTCCTATCTTATGGAATATCATAATTACCACGAAGTATTTTCTAAATCATTAACCACCGTAAAGTTTGAAGGGCAGTTACCTTATGAATATTAGATAAAATGTAAGATACATAACAAATTATTGTCTCCAAGATTTGTAACCGTTGAAAATATGAATGATATGGATAATCACTGTGTAATTATGTTTATAAGGACCCTTCAAATAAGGGATGCAAGCAACACAGATAAACACAAACTGGTCTACTAGTAGTCAGAATAATACAAGATGGCATGAAAAGTATAGTCATTAAAAAGAATGAACTTGAATTTGAAAAAAACTAAAAGTCAGGAAATAAGGCTAGATGGCAATTATCAAGCTTACTTATTCTCAAAGTACAACTTGGGTACCTATGACCACTAATCGTTAACCTTTAATTTTTTTAATTTTTAGAATGCTTATTGGTTTGAACAATATACATGGGCTTTGTTTAAAGCACTATCACATATGCTGTCGATTGGTTATGGGCGTTATCCTCCAAGTACATTGCCAGAAGCATGGATTACTATTATAAGTATGATGACAGGTGCTACATGTTACGCTCTATTTGTTGGTCATGCAGCAGCACTGATACAATCATTTGATGCATCTAAACGTAAATATCGAGAGATGGTAGGTTTCACAAAAATTGATAAATTTTATCGTTGATATAGGTATAAAATACTATGTTAACTGTTTAACAATCCCCATCATATTAAAATGCAACTATATGGATGAAGAGTACACTTCCATTCTCAACAATTGTATATCCAAATTATTAATCCAAAATGTGGCCAGGTTCAGGGAAAATCACATCATTTAAAATTATAGCATGTGAACTCAGGATTGTTCGTAAAATAACTTAAAACTGGTAATGTGTAGATGACTAATATACTGTGTTGACTTGAATAAGCGTATATGTTCAATGAAATTATGATAGTAATAATCTGAATAAATATGGGCCAAATAAGTTTACAGCAAACGCACTGTATATGTGGGCTGCTCAGAATAGCCTAAAGAGAAAAAGTGAAATAAAATTAACCACCACTTGGTAAGTGATAATAAATAATCTAATTCTGTGTCTATTTACATTGTTTGTGTTACTCGTAGCATGTTACCGTCGAAAATTCTTTTGTAATATTCAGCATTTCAATCTACTCAAGAAACACTTCGACGATCTAAAAAGTTTTAATTTGTACAATTAGTTTTCAATAAACCAAGCGAATAATACATCCTTGATGGTAGAAAAAGAGATCATTTATTCGCTAAATTTTAGTTAATTAATAACGATAATATATATGCACACAAATACACCCATTCTTTTTCCTGTCAAGAAATTATGTTTATCATAAGTATTTAATTAAATCACTAGAATATGTTGTTTTTAGTATTATAAGTCTTCTTCACCATCTCAAGCTAAATATTTTCCTACTTATGATACACCTAAACAAAAAACTGTAAAACGAACATTCTAACTTTACTGGTTACATAATTCTCTCTCTATCTCAGTAGTTCAGACTATCTATAAAAGTTGTTAAAGTATTTTATATTCAACAAATATTATATTTATCAAAACGCCCACTAGTATTTCCCTGATAAATTCTTATCGTGAAACCATAAAATTGGCAGAATTCATTTTCCTGAAGCATGCCATTTACTTTAGACAGCCTGAGCTTAACGCTATTGTTTTCAGTTCAAATTAGTTAAAGTGTAGATCAAGTAAGATATTTCTGTTATCAAAACAATTTATTGTGATGCCTTTTTTAATATTCACTCTATTAGAAAAGGTTTGGTTTGGATTTGTGGTAAAGTATATTTTTTCTAATTTTTAAGAAAATATATGAAAGTTTTCGAGCGACGGAGTAAACTGAAATACTTAGTAATCTAATTTTATAACCAGATTGATGAATACTTGTTTAGAACTTAGTCAGTGCTGAAGATCAGAAGATACAAAATTGATTACAATTCGGTGATCAGTTTCCGTAGTTAGTCCAGTCTTGCAAAGACTTGATAGAGGCTAAAATAACTTGAAAATGGTGAACATTAGTGCACTATTGTGTATTAGTAATCTGAATTTGTTAGGTCGTTATTCTTTAGGTTACAACTTTTTGTCGTTATTTCTTAGGAGAATTAGGAAGTCAAGATATTGAGACTTTTGGCTCATTATATCAGTTTGTGATATTTTAACTGATAAAGACATTCAAAAAAATTCTAAACTGAACTATATTTGAATGTGATAGACTTATTTAAAGGATTCTAGTTTGAAGATAAAAATATCGTCAGACTTCGAAATGTAACAATTAATACTGTATTAAACTACATTTACTACTCTAACCACTAGTGCTATGACAACTGGTTACTAGAAAATAAGGAGAAAATGTCATCTAGAATAGTAAGCTCTTCTAATTCATCATAATAACGTAACACTAATCAATTTTTTCG